ATTGATATCCATTCTTCCATAATGTTTAATAAAATCAATTGCATGTTTTAAGAAAATTAGTAATTTCTGATTAAGTTTTGCTATTAGATACTAATACAATCTTATAATTTATTTCCCTTTCATATGATTTTTGATAATTTATTTCTCTTCTATGAATTGCTCTATTTGTATGAAAGATCAAAATTTTAGTTTTTAAATTATAATCTCCTAGTTTTATTTTGAATTTAGTTTTAAATATTTTAGTTGTTGAATTAAAATCCTTTATCTGTTTTCTGATCTTTTCATTGCTGTTATAGAGTTTTGTATATGAAAGAAAATATGTGGCACTTTCTGATTCTGATTTATTTTTCTTAATTTATGATGTAACTTATTTGCATTCATCTTAATGTTACTTATAGTCTTTTATGACTCAGTATTATTCAATTAAGTGCAATTAATGTGTGTCTCTATTTTCATTCATCTGAAAAGCACCAGCCAGTTGGGTACTTCTATAACTTGGATATTGTGAGTTATTACCTCAGTTTCATTGGGCTCTGGCTCCAGACTCCTCTTAGCTCTCCAGTCTTCCTGTCTTCCTGCTCCATCAAAAAAAGTCAGATGACATGTGTTCATACTATAGAGCATAGAGATTATTAAAGAACAAATAAAATATAGTATTTCCAAGGACTGGGAATAGGCAGTGGCCAAAAGGATATTTGCTTAAACTTACATATATATGGCTCTGTGTGTGTGTGTGAACATTTTATTCATTAAACTTCCCAACTCTTTATTTTTACATGATCTTTGATAATGTTGCACAATATATTTGATGATATTGATCCCATAAACTCTTCCCAGATGCATCCCTTTTCTTTACACACTCATCTTTGTGTTCTTTTTTTTCTTTAATTTTATTAAATCTATTTGTGTTGCACAAAAATTCTTGAATGTGTGGCTATCCTCTAAAATGACCAGTGGCTACCTATGACCAAAGAGGTCATAGGTCCTAGGGAAAAATCTATTAATATATATTCCAGTATAGGGTCACAGATTTAAACTTTTTATTATACCTATATATTCGTGTATCTCTCAATCCTTTTCTAAGAGGCATCTATTGGCAGTAGATGGATATTAACACAGAGATCCAAAACTAGTCTTGAAGCAGAAATAAGGAAGGAACTGCAGAAACAGTATCTGATAGGCTAAAAAATGAATAATATACAAAGCTGGGTGGGAAGAGGAGGAGAGTGAAGTTTAGAGGAGTCAGAGGAACAGGATATGACCAAATATCTTGTATGAAATTCCCAAAGAACCACTATAATCAAACAAAGGACCACAAAGAAAGACACAAAATTTAATTTATCAGTATAAAGTTGGCCTCATTTTGGAAACGCAAGGATGATTCATCATATACAAGCCAATATATGCAATACATCACATAAATGTATTTGATGATAGAAAAGATCTCAATA